GCCTCAAGCTGTCCCCCTGGGTAGAATGCTATGATGTCACAGCTCACAGCAACCTCCAATTCCTGGGCTCAAGCGAGTCTCCTGCCTCAGCCTCCCAAATAGCTGGGACCACAGGCGCCCGCCACAATGCCTGGCTATTTTTTGGTTGCAGCCATCATTGTTGTTTGGAGGGCCCAGGCTGTGTTTGAACCCCCCAGCTCAGGTGTATGTGGCTGGCGCCTTAGCTGCTTGAGCCACAAACACAGAGCCAATTTTTCAGCTTTCTTTTAATTCCTTGAGTTCTTTGAGCTCTGGAAAAACAAAGGGGTAGTGGGAGAGGAGACTCCTTCTTGAGCACCTACAGAGGGCCAAATACATTTTCTCCCATTATACTTCCCATTATTATTCCCGTTTCACAGATGAGAAAGCTGATTCCCAGAGGTGTGCAGTTCTTTGCCCAGGTTCCATAGGTAGGAAGTGGAAGAGCTGAGATTTGAATCTGGGTCTGCCTAACTCAAAGCTGCAACACCTTCCTTTGCATGACATCACAAAGCTTCCCTGTTCAGTTTAGAAATTCACAGAGGCATGATATTGTTTGTGTATTTTCAAGATCAGTTATTAACTTTTTGACCCCAAGAAGAGCCCCCTAGCCAGGAGCCCAGGGGCAGGCAGTACATAGCTGGCTCTGGGAAAGCCCTAGCATATTCTGGGTTATTAGTGCTATAGCTGACACTTTGATCTAGAAGGAAGACAGGTTCCAGTCAGAATATCTAGGAGAGTGGGTTCAGAGGGGTCTCAGGGAAGTGGGACAGGCTATTATGTGAGGGAAGATAAATGTGAGAAAATAGGAGGCCTCTGATAAGTTAGCAGGGTTCTATTACCAATAAAATTATTTCCCCAAGCTCTACATGTGTGCTTGATGTCAGAATTCCTTATCTAAGGCGGTGCCCGTAGCTCAGTGGGTAGGGTGCCAGCCACATATACCAAGGCTGGCAGTTCGAACCCAGCCCAGGCCAGCTAAACAACAATGAAAACTACAACAAAAAAATAGGCGTTGTGGCAGATGCCTGTAGTCCTAGCTACTCGAAAGGCTAAGACAAGAGAATCACTTGAGCCCAAGAGTTTGAGGTTGCTGTGAGCTTAATGCCATGGCACTCTACCAACGGTGACATAGTAAGACTCTGTCTCAAAAAAAAAAAAAAATCCTTATCTAAGTTAATATATGCTAGTGTTTATAGAGGACTTTTTCAGTCTAATATGCCCTAATCAAATACCCCTAGAGCTGGAGATAGAGTCTGCTAAACACTCATTCATTCATTTCTTCATTAACAATTCATTTTAAAGGCAGCTCCTCTAAAATTCTATCAAGGATGGCTTGGCGCCTATGGCTAAAGTAGCTAAGGTGCCAGCCACATACACCTGAGCTGGCAGGTTCAAATCCAGCCTGGGCCCGCCAAACAACAATGATGGCTGCAACCAAAAAATAGCCGGGCGTTGTGGCGGGCGCCTGTGGTCCCAGCTACTTGGGAGGCGGAGGCAGAAGAATCACTTGAGACCAGGAGGCATGGTCTGAGCTGTGATGCCACAGCACTCTACCCAGGGAGACAGCTTGAGGCTCTGTCTCAAAAATAAATAAATAAATAAATAAAATTCTATCAAGGAGTTTTCCAAAGGCAGTTGACTTTTTTCTTTCTTTCTTTGCTTACTTTCTTTCCTTTTCTTTCTTTCTTTCTCGTTCTTTCTGTCTTTCATCTTTCTTTCTTTCTTTTCTTCCTTGAGTTTTACTTTGTTGTTCCTTGGTACAGTGCTGTAGCATCATAGCTCAATGCAACCTCAAACTCTTGGGCTCAAGTGATCCTCTTGCCTCAGCCTCCCAAGTAGCTGGGACTACTGATGTCTGCCGCAATGCTTGGTTATTTTTATTTTTAGAGACTCTGGTGTCGCTCTTGCTCAGGCTGGTCTCGAACTTGGGAGCTCAACCAATCCACCCATCTCGGCCTCCCAGAGTACTAGAATTACAGGCATGAGCCCCGGTGCCTGGCCAGCAGTTAATTTTTTTCCAGGAAAGTATGAGCCTTGGAATCTGGCCAATTATATATTTTAAATTTAAATAAATGTATATATTTACTTACACATTTATCATTTAAATATATTTATATATTTAAGGAAAATGGGCGGGGATTATTGTTCATTCCAACATAGCAATGTATAGAACTCAGATCACTTGGTGTTTTTAATCTTCTGATACTGAGGAAAAGGAACTTTATTATTTCCAAGTGGCCTCTTGAAAACATAGTTTATTAAAGAGCAACTTCATCATTAAAAATGTGGTAGACTGTTGGCTAGTTGTTTTCCTGAAATTGGCATATCTCCTTGGCATAGGCTGCCCTGCTAAGACTACATCCCGCTGGGCATGCCATGAGAATAAGCTCCTGTCAGTGGACTGTGAGTGGAAGTGATGTGTGCAACTTCCACCTCATTAGCTTGAACAGAACGTGCTTGTCCAGGTCTACCTTCCTGGGGCCTCCATACTGGCTGGAATGTAGACTGCCAGAACAGCTTCGGTTCTTCAGGTGAGGACAGGTAATTAAACAAGATAGAAGGAAGTGTGGGAGGGTATGAATAAACGAAAATTAATAACCTATCACTGGGGAGCTGATCTGTCCCACCAGCCTGACTGGCAGGACTTTAGCTGAAAGAGAAATGAACTTCACTCTCTTTTTTTTTTTTTTTTTGAGACAAAGTCTCATTTTGTCACCCATGGTAGAGTGGCATCATAGCTCACAGCAACCTCAAACTCCTGGGCTCAAGTAATCCTCTTGCCTCAGACTCCTAAGTAGCTGGGACTACAGGTGCCTACCACAATGCTGGCTAGGTTTTTCTGTCTTTAGTAGAGATGGGATGCTGCTCTTGCTCAGGCTGGTCTGGAACTCCTGAGCTCAGGCAATCGCCCGCCTCAGCCTCCCAGAGTGCTAGGATTACAGGCCCGAGCCACCACCTTGGCTTTGGTCAGGCTTCTTTTGCTCAGCATGTTTTTGAGATTGATCCATGTTGCTGCAAGTAGTTGAATGCCC